ATATATAACTGAAAGTTATTTATACGAGAAATAATTTTGAAAGATTATCATAGTTTTCCAGAAACTATGCAATCATCGATTTTGTCTTGATTATAAAAACTAAATTTTTATAATTTTAGAAGAGAACCACGCGCGCGCGCGTTTTCTCTTCTTATCAATTTTAAACATTATCAGGTTTCGATATTTTAAACAAGATATATAATACTCATTTTTTCCAATTTTGAATATATCGTGATATATGATGTAATATGTAATATATCGTAAAAGAAGAATTTCTCAAATATATCGATGTTAAAATTTTGGTTTAATTTTGCACGCAGCAACTTTTATCTATTGTAAACCTAGAATGGGACAATGTAAAAATAACGTTATTCAATATTACGAGAAATGTGATCTGTAATACTGCGCGACCTTGTACTCCGGTGTACATATCGCGATTGACATTGTATTGATACTACGAAACAATAATGATGTGTATTATAGTGTGATACAATATATGTGTGTTGGTGAAAGTTTTCTGCTCTGATTAACCTAACAGATGATTGGCTGCTCGATAAATTACCCATTTAATTCTATTATCCTAATTCTGAATTGGTAATGTGATAGGCACAAACAATATATGTATATATGATAATTGATGCTTTTATTCAAATATCGTTTTAAAATCAAGATTATCTATCGTTGCTCATAACATCACGATAAATGAATTATTTTCTAATTGTCGCATTATCAAGATCAAATGGCGTGTCAATGATAACAGATATTAAATTGAAAAGAATATAACAGTGCACTTGTGAATTTAGATGAAAATTTTGTATATGTATGATTGCATATTTCACATTTATTTTTATATGGGACATAAAAACTATAAGGGTATACATCACTGTTATGAGCGTACGATCGTTGATATATAGCTCATCTTAATATCTACTTAATATTATAATGGTTATATTTTATTGAAATCACACGCAGTATGTGCATCATCTTTCACGTCTGCGCTAGGTTTACAAGACACGTGTTATAAATCAATACATTTAAATTATGCTACTATTAGACTTTTTCGATATAAATATGTCCAGTTATGGCACAAGAAAAGAAAATAGTATAGCATGTATATAAAATTCTAGCTAAAATATTTAATCATACACACGAAGAATATGCTCTTATTTCAATAATCTTTTTAAAATGAGTAATTATTTTAAAATACAATAATCACATAAGATCACAACACTATATAGTATGTATATTATCTGTTATTTTACTTAACATTCGCTATAAGACGCGATACTTTACAGTCATTCAGCCAGCTCGATAAGAACGCTTGATGTTCTCGTTACAGCCTGCTTACTCGTAGCAAAGTTCTATTACTTAGTGTTGAGCATGTTGTTTTTCACGTTTTATTTGGATGAACGATTCTTTGACATTGTGAATGATCTCATTTATTATTGCGATTTATACTAACCACTTGGCTAATTTGAGCAAATGAGTTTGAAGAATGTCCGCAACAGATCGAATAAAGGGATTTGCGAACCTGTTTCCTTTCACGTGGAAAATCTTAACCATCGTAAATCAGTTAATTTCTATTATACTATCTAACACCACGTATGAGGATTTAGCATCTCGTCATTTCTGCACGTGGCATCATTTGAAAAAAGCACAGGTCACTTTTCTCAAGTGACTTAAAACGACGAAATATAATGACTGCAAACAAAAAAGGATACAATTTGTACAAACGAGACAGCATGAGCATGACACGAGATCATTATAATCGGATAATCTAAATCGGTTCTGTTCTGAGAATAGCGAGTCCCTAGAGTCCTTATGCATCTCGTTGGCAGCCTTCAATACCGTGCCGAAAGGACAAGGAATGTGGAGGGACAGGTACACACCAGCAAATCTTACTTTATTCCACGATAACAAATGCGAAACATAATTGTTAATGATAATGAAAACATTAATGATATTTATTAAAATCAAATAGATTATATATATAATTTAAATATAACGATATAATAAGTGCAATTTTCTTTTGAAAGAAGAGATGAAAATAAAAAAAGATATTGAGCATGCTATATTATAGCATATTTATGAAAGAAAGAATCGTTCGTCCAAAAAATTGTGTAGAAAGTAGAGGAGAGTTCATCGTTGCAACAACTGCTGGATGTTTTCTTTCTATATAAATAATTAAAATTATATTATTTCTTATAGGAATGTGACGGAATCTGTTGCACTAATCATAATGGCGTATTTAATAAAAATACGCAGTAATTTTTTGTCTTTATACAACTTTGTCTTTTTCAATGAGAAAGGAATAAAAAATTAATTTATATTTATATACACAAATTAAGAATTATTAATTTATGCAATTGCCAAGATTGCAATTTCAGCGAACAGATTTCGATACGTCATTATTTTAAGTTGTTTCCGCGAGATATATCTTTTTTCCGCAAAGTGTGAATGGTGTGCTGCGTGGCGTCTCTCTACTATAATACATAATTATTATTGTTACTGCTCGTTTCGTAGTCATGTACAATAGAAAAGTGTTTGCGTGTGATGAGTGCAGGTTTTCGAAGTGTTCGAATCATCATCGTCGCAACCTAGGAGCAATTTTTACGAAAAACAAAATGAAAATTAGAAAAAAATTTGGTATATCGTTTGATATACAGTTATCAAGAATCAGTGTAACATCGTGCTAATTATAAATCCAATAATCGAATATGCTCAAAAATCTATGTAAAAATGTGCTAGTGTTAGCGATATATCACGATCTCATCTTTTTTTCTCTCTTTTTCTATGTCATCTCATCATCATGTTTATGAACGAATGAATACTAACGCGTTTTTATTTTGTTCCCGATCTTCTCTGTTATTTTATTTGCGCTACTCTCGCAGAATTCCACAGTGGAGAAAGTAAGTGATCTTCTCTTCAATTTTAGCTTCTGCAGTTTGCCGTATTCATTATTCCCTCGATTTTTTTCAGTTCTTCTCTTTGTCATATTCACAGCCTATCTGTCGCTGCACTACACAATCTCTTGTAGCTGCTGATTCTTATTATTCTCAGAAGCGTCGTATTGCTCAGTGAATAGCTTTGTTCGACGTTACTAAAGGATGATTCATGAATTAAATATGATTGAATCTTCATCAGCAAAATTTATTTTGAAAAATATGGGTATAATGAATAAAACGACGGATACGCGCCTCTCTTAATTATCTCGAATTTTCTTATACTGCTCGAGCTCTTTACGACGATGAGAGATATACGTAATCGCATAATTTATACAAATGCTTTACTGAATCTTAATTTAAAATCAGAAAAAAAAACAAATTTACTTCTACGGAGGTAATTGTTATTGGCTTCATATTTGAATAGTCGTAATAATAACCATGTTGTCAATACTGCGTCAAACGTCCTTAAGACGTCTTTGTCAAACTAATGCATTCACTGTGCAATGCGCATTGCACAATTTTCTTGTGAATAATTTATAGGTTCATCAGAGTGGAATTCTCAGCGCTAGCATTGCTACACTATGTAGTAGTTGAGAGCGATTGAGAATAGACCCAATTCTCGTTTGAATCGAATTAGATTAGACACTTTCAATGTCGTTAATTTGACGCTTACGGCTATATTACACCCCATCCAACACAAACGCCTCGTATAAACACCCATATAGATTTGACGTAGGTAGCTGTTTTATTTATCACTTATTTTGCGACACATATATTTCATACAGCTCATATTTGTCGTCTTATGCAAATATCCACAGATTAAACTTAAATATAGATAGCTGTTTTATTTATCCATTCTTTTTATTTTGCCGTACATCTTTTATACGCAGCTCATTATCGTAATTTTATCTATTTCACATAATTGCATTATATCAGAGTAATTACATTTACGCATAATAATTAAATGACGATAATAGAACATAGAATGTGAATCTATTTACTTTTGAAAAGATAACATCACAACTAATGATATCGCGTCATTAACGCGACTGATGCGCATTGTGTCAAAATTTTTACAAAATCTCATGAAATCGTTATATAACTACCAACGTCACGCTTTATATATAGTACAATTTCGAGAATTATGCTTTCTGGCTTTGCGCATATTTTTAATACTAGTTAATTCGCGTCGGCAATTGTACAATGCATTGTGACTGATATTAATATAAAAAATTATATTAAACATAATATTTTGCATTTTCTAATATAATATTAACTTATTACGATTTTTGTGAAATTTTAATATAAAATGTCTTCATAACAATTATAGATATCTATTATATTGTTTTTTTCTTTTACATTACATCTTCTAATACGGGATTTTTTAAGAAAAAGCTACAATGTATATAATATATATTCTTTTTTCCTATTGCATAGGATAAAATTAATGTAAATCATTATAAAAGTTTCAAACAAGCAAAATTACATCTATACATTTTTGTCGAAGATACATATATTTTGGATATACAAAAGGATATATTTTGACTTTTTGTATGCAACCTACATATATACATAATAGCGCAACTATTTTTTCGCGATATATTTTTGACAGTCCTTGATAGCATATCGTTAATCCAAGTAACGCGCTTTCTAAATCTCTACAGCTTTCTGGTTTCCTTTTTGGTGGACGCGAGAGGCGGTGCAATGCGCGGATGCAGGCACAGCGGCGTCCGCGTGATTGTTCCGCCACGCAAAGCCGCGATGCCTATGCGTGTCACATGCAGATATTTAAGGAGGGACAAACTGACCAATCCACCACCCCTGATGGAGGGAGAAGCGTTAGCCAGCCGCATCCTCGAGTTGGGTCCTGTGGGTGCAAAATTTTTAGGGTATGTCGCTTACATCATACTTCGCGATTCATTTCTTAATGTTGTTTATATCAGATACGCGACATCGGAAATTTATGATGAAACGGTTGTAATTTTTTTAGATAGAATATAAAATAATAAAGAACTCGCGCGTGTGTACATACAAATGCACTATGTGTAGCGGAAAATAACATACTTTATTAGTTATTCTCAGTGACAGCTTTTTGTCAAACATTAAGAAATTTTTCATGCGTAGCCCTGTTATCATAGAGGTACCGCACTTCGCGTCGCTGCGCGGAAAAGAACGGGAGATAGTAATTCTACGATCGGACAATGGAGAGACCTGGCGCGAGCACACTTTGGAAGCCAGCGAGGAGGCTGTTCAAGATGTGCTTAACGAGAGCTTTGAGGGAGAAGGTATCATTTTTAAAGTAATTCCTTCGTGTAATATATAATTTTTAAATATATAATAAGCTCTGAATTATATCTTTTTTTAGAGCTAAGCCAACTAGAAGATCTCCAAACGTCTCGTATCGTGAGGATACTTACCGTAGACTTTCCGCATTACTTCGCGGTAGTATCTCGCATCAGGCAAGAGGTCCATGCGGTCGGTCCCGAGGGTGGTACTGTATCATCGTCTGCTGTACCACAAGTACAAGCTGTCTTCCCGCAAGCAGCCCTTACTAAGAAGATCAGAGTCGGTTTACAGGTATTTTTCCGTTTCTCTTTATTGATGTAATTAAATTTATCACATCTACTCTTATTAACTCTTTACATTCTTGATATTTAAATATAATTAACTACTCCATAAACGAAGGTTTTTCTTAAATCTTTTAAATTGCTTGCTTATCTATTCTCTAAAAAAGTAAAATAATTTAGAAATATTTTTAATGAGTATATTTATTTTTTTCATGATTTATTTATCGCATTCAAAATATAAGAGCTGTTATTATCATTCTTGTACAGGCACATCCTATACCGGCAGATCTCGTGGCTAAGTTACTCGGAAATAGAGTAGCTGTGTCGCCGATCGTTACCGTGGAACCGAGACGAAGAAAGTTCCACAAACCGATAACTTTAACTATCCCAGTGCCACAGGCAGCCAATAAAGGCATGATCAACCAGTACTCTGGGGACGCGCCGACTTTGAGACTCCTGTGCAGCATAACTGGTAATATATGCTTGCACGTAACATTGTAGAGCAGCGTACCGTCTTACTGGAGAATCTCTTACCGATAAACGGCTGAAACGAATATATAATATTATACGCCGCATACACCTTTGGTGTACATTTACGCTCTTGCCGAACCTACGTTGTTGCGCATTCAAATATCTCGATTTACTGTAGTTTAGCAGGCATGAACACAGTCGGTGGGCTATCTCGTCTGTTCTCAGGTCATCGGGATTGCGAACTAAAATATCGTATATTTCACGAGAAAGTTGCTTGAATGTTAGCAGCACTTTTTAACTTTTTTGTGTTCAGTATCAATGATCTATACAATTTGTGATTTACTACACTAGCAAATGTAAAAATGTTCCAACGTCAAGTGTTCATTCAAAGAGAATTAATTTATGTATGTCAATGTTGCGGGGATCAATGTTGTCATGACATGTATTACGTGAATGTTTTAAACAATTTTTTGTTATTTACATCCATATTGTCGGAAAATGTCCCGAGGACCTTCGGATAGAGATTTAAAAGGGAGATGGTAGCTGCATGTCTCATAGAAAAATTTCGTTGAGTATCATTATTGTATACATATCTTGTTGTAATTCATTGTTAATGCTTGCATATTGTTAGGATTGAGTCATTTAGGTATGGATTATCAATTAAAGTAGATAACATTTTATTATATATACCTAGCCCATTGTAAGCGTTAACTTTAAAGCGTTTTGTTTCAGCACATTCGTTTGACTGGTAATCGCTTTGATATTAGTAATTTGTAATTTACATGAAATTGTGCTCATGATATATATATATTTTAAGTTGTTACAATATTCTTTATATAATATCCACTCTTATAAACGAGAGAGAAAAAGATTAATGTTGTTATTATAACAATATTACACACACTGAATATTACCAATATTCAAGCTTATCTTAAATCACAATCTGTTGAGAATCTATTTTAAGCATCAATATTTTTACGATATTCATACAAAATGATCTTTATTTTTAAAACAAGTATATGTATCTAATTGTGCTTTTAATTTTTATTCCAATTTTATTAAAAGCCGCGCGCGCGCGCGCGTGCGTTTTTTATCAAAAACATATATTAATGACAAACACATATTGATTGATACATATATACATATATACATACATACATACATACATACATACATACATACATACATACATACATACATACATACATACATACATACATACATACATACATACATACATACATACATACATACATACATACATACATACATACATACATACATACATACATACATACATACATACATACATACATACATACATACATACATACATACATACATACATACATACATACATACATACATACATACATACATATATATATATATATATATATATATATATATATATATATATATACATATACATATATAAATTCTTTAATTATTATATTAAACCCATACATATAATATCTTTACAATTGCTTTTTACACCATTCACATGAATAGCGCTTCTTCTTAATTTTGCAAGCATTATCATTCGATCAGTCACATATCTATTTTTATATTACTCACACATTGAAGAAGCACCTAACAATAACGCACTTATAGCGACCGTTTTAAATACGAAACTTTTTCTCGGATTGATAGTTATACACTCGACATTATTTTTACATTGATTTGTATCTGATCATTAATCGTCTGTATTTAATTTCGGTCGCGCGAAAATATACTACACTATATTTCACCTATGCCATTTGCGTATTTGCAATATATTTTAATAATGCGGACATATTTTAATAATGTTATTGGACTTGGCATGTATGTCGTTCAGGGGGTCAGACTCGGGCAGTCTGGGAGGACGTCACAGGCTCGACGCCGTTAACCTTTGTGAAAGACTGCGTCTCCTTCACTACTACAGTTTCCGCTCGCTTTTGGTTGATGGATTGCCGTAACATCTCCGAGGCTACGAAAATGGCCACGGAACTTTACACGCACGCGACACATGTACCCTTTATGGCTAAGTACGTTGATATAAATTACGTAAAACATAAATTTTAGGTGATGACATAAAGTGTGCGAATTATATAGAAAACAATTATACTATTTAATGCATTTTTTGATAGGTTTGTAGTGTTTGCAAAACGGATAGATCCATTGGAAGCGAGATTACGTGTATTCTGTATGACGGATGACAAAGAAGACAAAACTTTAGAGCATCAGGAACATTTTACGGAAGTCGCAAAAAGTAGGGACGTCGAGGTAAATGTCGGCGATAAAAATGCAAATTAATTATTAAAACGCATAATACAGAACTATTCGAATGCTTAAGGCATTATTAAATATTATTTTGTGCTATAGGTTTTGGAGGGAAAAACACAGTATATGGAATTCTCGGGAAATCTCGTGCCTGTACTGAAAACTGGCGAACAGCTTCAGCTACCATTTAGAGCTTTCAAAGAAAATAGAGTTCCATTCACCGCAAGAATAAAAGATCCAGATGCCGCGGATATGATGGGGCGAATTATGTTTATGAGTGAGCCCAAAGTTCCGAGGGGTGAATTGCCGCAAACACCGATCTGCACGCTAAATATTTTACTGCCAGAGAAGATTTCTCCGGATACTGCAGTCTCCGAGCTCGATTTATTGGAGTTATCAAAGAACTATAGTTTTTTGCGCGATGGCGGAATAAGTACGTAAATAATGTAGTAGAAAAAAAAGAATTAATTAATAACAATATTTTTTTTATCAAAACTTATATTATTGAATATTGTGTATTATTCTTAGGTAGACCAGATGCCATACATAGAGCGACTATTCGTTTAACAGACATCGCCAATCTATTAGATAAAGATTGGGAACCGCTAGCGGAAGAGTTAAACATCCCGCCTAATGATGTAGCCTTAATAAAGCAAGAGTACCCTGATAAACCCGCACAACAGGCCGCTGCTATGTTCAAAATTTGGCAAAACAACGGAAACAAAGCTACAGGTGAGTCTCTCCACAGATATTATATTATATCCTACTATTTATTTATCTTTATACCTTCAACACACGAGCGCAGCGTGTGACTTTTCGATGAATGAGAGCTACTGCCTTGGTAACCTTTAAAAAAAACCTGTTTCTTCGAGCAAGGTCAATTAATTAGACACGCGCGTTATAGTTGAGTCAGGCGCGAAGAATCTCTCCTAGGAACGTCGTAGATGATGATCTCATTGTGCATTATTATGCCTGACATAAGTTCACATACACGCTTCGTTCCCTCTCTTCTTCCCGCTAATGGCATTGACTCGCACGTAACTCTTGTGGCGTTTCTGCAATCGGCAAAAGTAACACGCAGTCGTGATTCCGTAGTATGTGATTCTCGGTTGCACAGCAAAAGTGATTAAAATCTGAGTGTCTTTAGCCGTTTTTTTCGTTATTTGTGCATCTCGGTTTTACTATTTGCCGAAATTTTTCAATCTGAATCTGAATTACTCGAGATATTTTTCAACATTTTTCGATGAAGTAACATATTTCTCAAGAGTGCTGCGTAAATATTTTTAAACTTTAGGTCTATTTCAATATAAAAATTTTTCAAAAATTTTAAAATAACAATGTTTATAACCTTGTATCAAGAATATGAAAATCAGAATCATTATACGAGTGAACTTCTATTAATATTTCGGAGGTGTTCTTATTTCCATCCACAGTGTGCAATACATTCAGGTTTGTGCAAAATTGATGGAAAGCGAACAAGGGTATAATTGGCTATAAATTTTGATTTTGTGTGTGTGTGTGTGTGTGTGTGTGTGTGTGTGTGTATATGTATTGATGTAAGGATATATATACTCGCGTATAGATATCCGAAGTGCCTCGTTGCTACGCGTGATTTGGCGCGAGACACTACCGTGTCTTTTTTTTTTTGTGATCCTTATATATAAAATCTATTACACACATACATAATACTTTCAATACTACATATTTTGAATATATACAAAATGTTTTAGAATGTTGAATATATTATAATAAATGTAAGATAAATTAATAAAATATACTTTTTTTTAATTTATCATGATTAAAACGACGTTTTGTTCTTCATTTGCATACAGGAAATACATTAGAAAAGGCTCTCAATAAGATTGGACGAGAGGACATAGTGAACAAATGTATCTTTAATGTTGAGCTAGTAACCGACGATGTTGAAAAAGCTGTAGCGAGGGTAAGATTGGATCAGCCAGGATTTGATTCGCTAAAAGAGGAATTGGGGCCGTCGAGAAACACGTCGCTTCGCCGTGATGCAACTATGGACCCCAAGATGGATCCTGATTATGAAGAGCCAGATAGAATGAAGGTGCGCATTTTATGCAAATTTTTAAGAATCTACAAGAGATCAAATCTATATGCCACGTTAAACCGTCATTGAAAAAGAATGTTATTTTATGTCTTATTCTTTTTAATGCTACTGAATACAATTAAGAAAGATACGATTCATCCACTTTACATCTTATTATAGCTCGTTTATACGTAAAAGTTAGAACGCTTATACCTAACAGTAATTTACTGAAATAACTGCATTTCCATAAGCGTGGGAGTCTTACAATTGCCAAAATAAAACGCAATTCTCTTATTCTAGGAATCTGAATCGGTCGAGGATCTCAGTATCACTGGAAGTATGCATGATAAATGTAAGTACATTAATAAGGTTTATAAAATTAATTTCATTATTTATTATACTCGCTCTTGCATTGCGTTTTTATATTACATATACAATTCAGAATTCGTCAGAGATAGTTGAATATATTACACATTTTTTTATTATACGCAATAAAAGTATGACGTCACGGCTCACAATCCTCGAATGAATAATGCACGTAAAGTCACAACGTGTGCTTATTAATTGTGTCAGTACATGGAAATAGCAAGCACACTTTTACTCGTGCTTACCTAGAAAATGTGTTAGTCAACGCTTGCCAGACAATTTTACTGTGGTCACATTACGTTTCGTCATGCAACGTTTCACATCAGCTCATATTACCTCTTCATATCTTCTTGTTTACGCATTTTCTGCACTTCACAGCTAAAGAGCACATCACAATCACAAACGGCACTGTATTCAACGGAACCTCGACCCCCATCAAAGACAAATATGCGAGCGATGAGAAAGAGCTCGGCGACATGATGGCTGATTACCTTGAGCAGAAATGTCACACGGCCGACACGATGAGCAAAAAATCGCGCGACGAACCGGACGATCTGGATAAAAAACGCCAGAAGGTGATCGCCGACGCCAACAAGATAGTCTCTGGTAAGTGAGCGACTGAAAGCGCGATTGGAATGAATGGTGGGTTGAGGGGGCGTGCTTACTACTACTATTACTACTACCATTACTACTTCTGGCAAAACCGGTAGCCAATTAATCGATTTTAGCGAAACTACGTCGCCAAATGCGGGACTACGCATTTAATTAAAGCTCAGCAGCATGATTGGATTAATGCTGCGGGCGCACGCTTGATCTTAAGAAACCAATTTACTCGATTATTAACCATTTATCGATAAATTGCGTTTTGCTACCAGACTCGCTATAAGAACTCGCTGGATCGGAGATACTTATATCCTTCCCTGATGATATCGTGTTCATAGTTATGAAATGTACTCATTTACAAGAGTGTCGAACGATGCAAGAAATACATATTGAACTATTCTTGTCGAATGTTTTTATACATTTGTTTATATTCGAGATTTTTGTCTCTTCTCTTAATAATTAATATCTCAGTGGATTTTTCGTTGTATTCTTATAGGTAATTATCTTAATATCTAATAAATGATATAACTGCCATTATATAATTATGTCACAATATACGCGTAATTTATGTTATATCTGATTATATGAACTTACATATACAGATTATACATGTCAATAATACAATTTCTAATTAGGTATATTTTAATGCTGATAATATTGTTTTTAATATTAAATTTTATTCGTAATTTATTGTCATTTACATAAAATAATTTGTAGTTTTTATGTAAGTATTAAATCAACACGATATATGCACAGGATCTTATTTCAGCGAAACGTTGCAAACGAATAAACGTTAATACAGAAATATTCTTACTATAGTAGAATCCAATGATTCTGAACACGATTTCTGTCAATACATAAAATGACGTCTCAGCTTATAAAGAACATTGTACGTTCTGCAGAGTGCAAATAATGTACATGAGCACTAAACACTTATATCTTTATGCCATCTGTTACTTCCACTCACAGGTTCTGGAAGCCAATGCGGATTCTCTCTTCGGAATTTTATTAGAGAAAAGCTTGCTTTTATTTTAATATATAACGAATTATTTTATTGCGCCTATATATCACACAAGCAGCTCTTGTCTATATATATTATACAATATAATTTTTATATCTCATTTAATCACACACATCCCCACTAATATCCTTCTATTCCGCGACATTTTTGGATTAATTTGTTTCAGCAAGGTTTCGCTGCAATTATTTGGCGTTGCATGAATGGTCAATATGTTGTGTGGCCCAATTGTGTGCGCGCACGGAGCAGCTGTCATTTGAAAAGATCACTAGATACATTGTTGTATAGCCATCAAAATACTGTTCTCATTTGTGTTTTTAATTGATAGATTAAAAATTACTAGATCATTATACTAATAGCAATCGAATGTTGTATTATTTAAAATAATAATTAAGAGTTTTTGCGAAGCTGAATATACTTACTGCCGTTTATATTCTAACAGCTTCATTTTCGAACCTTCAGCATTGTTTTATAGTTAATATATATAGTACTAATCAAGAGAGACGCACACTCTCATATTTCGAAATTGCAAGCTACTGAAATATTTTGAAAATAATTTATTGAAAAACATTTAAGTGAAAAATTTATTTCATATATTGATTATTGGTAATAATTAATGTTACTTCTCCTTCTTGAATCGCAGTTGCCTTGTGTTTATAATGATGATAGTGAGAAGATGGCTGCTCCACAGCACATACACTCCACGCACAAACCACATTACAATACTCTAACCGCAGTTCAATGAAAAAAGCAATCAAAGAGCGAGCCAGCTTACACTAATGATGACGAAATTGACAATAAAATTGTGTTCTTTTATTTTCTATCACATATACAGATGCCTAAAATATATAATACTTAATTAACAGGTGTAATAGCAGACGCAGAGAAAGAGAAGGGGAAGTTAGCGAAGGAAGGGTGGTCGGTGGTTTATGATGATGATGCGCGGGACAGTAAAGAGGCACGGGGTGCGATAGGGCAGACTTTAATTGACATACAGTTAGATAAAACGGCCGCTGAGCCGAAAGGTATAGTTTCCAAATCAGTCGCCGAACAAGTTCCTAGTATCGAGCCACCGATGGTTAGGCAATATCACAGTGAAAAACCGGATCCTAGGGTTAGTATTTTAAAAACAGCAATTTCCGTTAGTGACGATCCGAAAGTAAGTCCAACAGTAGTTACTAAGACTACGATAATAAAACAGTTTGATCAGACGCCAACTAAGACTATAACCACTAAAGAAACAGTAATTGTTTTATCGGATAAGAAAGATGTTGTTAGCGAAAAGGAGAAACTATCTAAAGAGGGTAAGGAAATTGATGAAAAATTGATTCAAGGCGCAATTCCTATGGGCATTACGCAAAAAACTGTACAGGTAGAAAGTGTAACTCGAACTGATCAGAAAATGTCGGAAGTAAAAGCGGATATGGGTAAGGAAAAAGATAAAGATAAAGCAAAAGATAAAGATAAAGAAAAGGATAAAGATACTATTGCGAAATCAACGAAACCATCAGCTTATGAAGATATTTATAATGTACAGCATCTGGCAGACGGTACGGATGAAAAACCAGACGAAGAAACGAAGAAAACGAAGGATAAAAGCAGCGGAATTTTTTCGAATATTTTTAAAGGTTCTAAATTAAAGAAGAGTAAGAAAGGTTCGAAGGACGTGTCCTTTGATAGTGGCGATGAGGAACTGCCGAAGGCTATCGTAACGAAAGTTTCGGAACAGCAGCCAGTACATTCTTCTAGCGAAATAATAGATTCGTCTTTTGACAATAGACTTCCAGAAATCATTGTCGCGCCTGATGTAAAATTGGCTACCCTTGAATTCTTAAATGACTCCAGACGTATTGCCGCGGACGTGCCTTATGAAAGTCTCCTTAAACCAACAGAAAAAGAAGATAAAAAAGTAGAGCCCACTGAAAGCGACGATGATAGTAAAGATAAAACGGGCTTCTTCTCGAATTTGTTTAAAAACAAATCTAAAAAGGATGACGATGGAACGGTTATACCAGTTATCCATGTTGAAAAACCGAAAGAAAGTGCAGAGCAAATTGCGAAGAAAGAGAAAAAGAGACTGGCAGCACTTGCAAAGGAAAAAGAGGAGCTGCTGGAATTACAAATGAAGGAAAAGGCGGAGGAAGCCGAAGTACCCAATAGTACAATCGAAAAAGAAGTAGAAAAAGCTGCAACGAAAGACGTGAAAGCCAAGGATATCGAGAGCAAGGAAGTCGAAAAGACAATTACTACAACAGATAAACAATTGCACAGTAAAGATGATAAAAAGGAAGAAGAACAGGCGAAGGAGAAGGGCAGTTTCTTTGGCATTTTTAAAAGTCCAAAGTCTAAGGAAAAGAAACTTGGCAAATTGAAAGAAACGTCCTTCGACAGTGGCGACGAGGAGATCCGAATCGTAACAGAGAAACTCTTAGACGACACGCGAAAGATTGCTGATTTCAATGAATCACCAGTTGCATATAAAAACGATGATACGAAAGTCATTCCTAAAGAAGAGATACATACTTTTGTGTCGATTACTCATTACGACGTTGATATTACGAAACAGATGGCAGAAAATCTACAGCATCCAACTGGAGAAATATCAGAAACAGTTACAAAAACTCCATCCATCGATCATGTGGAGATTAAAAAATCTATCATCCACGAGGATGAAGTCGTTGAAAAAGATAAGGGAAGCAGTATTTTCAGTATATTTAGAAGTCCCAAACAAGCAAGAAGTTCTAGGAGTAGATCAAAAGAAAAGACTCCGTCGCTCGAATTGCCGGATAGTGGCCATGAGGATCTACGAAACGTAACAGCGAAATTCTTGGAGGATTCTCGAAATGTGGCAATTATCACAGGCGAATTGACAGAAACAGAACATTTGGAACATAAAATCACAACTGAAACGAAAGATATAGACGATAAATTGATAGCAGATGAGAAAAAAATTGAACATGACATTGCGAGTGCGGCAGAAGATGTTGATAAAATTGCCAAGGATGACCAAGATACGATTGGCAAAAAAGTAGAGGAAAAAATACATGATATCGTCGATAGCGCTGAAACTACGAAAGATAAAACAATTAAGGAAGCTAAGAAAGCAAAAGAGAAAGGATCAGGATTCCTCTCAGGAATATTCAAAGGCGCGAAACATGCCGTGGAAGAAGTATCCGATGATATCAAGGAATTCTTAGACGATACGAAGAAAGAAGCTGTCTTAGAGGAACCGCGAGGCAGAGAAGCGACAACCACTGGTTTAAAGGATTTGGAACAACAGAAGGACAGTGTGGCAGCTAGCGCAAAAGATGCTACTAATAAAGCTGCGACTGACGTGAAGGATGCCAGAGATAAAATAATATCTGCTGTGAAGGGAAAGAAGGAAGAAGTTGCAGAGAAAATTTCAAAAGATGTGGAAAAGGCAGCAGATAACGCGAAAGCTACTACCGACAAGGTAACAGATACAAAGAAGATCGGAGAAAAAATGGAGATCACTGCAAAAGATGTCGCGCACGCTGGCGAAAAAATTAAAGAAGAGGTTACAACGGAAATAAAGGAAGATGCTAAAGCTATGAAAGAAAAGCTATCTTCCAATGCTGATTTGGCTACTGATGCCGCAATATCTACCAAGGACAAAGCAGCCAAGGAGGCGAAGAAAATTAAAGAGAAAGGAAGCGGTTTCTTTTCTGGAATATTTAAAGGTGCAAAACACACCGTAGATGATGCGGCTAACGATGTTAAAGAATTTTTAGATGAGACAAAGAAAGAAGCTATATTACAAGAAGAAAATTCCAAAGAAACAGTAGCAACGGGTCTCAAAGATGTAAAAGATCAAAAGGATACCGTCGTGACTGAAATTCAAGAAAATACAGACAAAGCTGTCACTGATGCGAAAGATGCAAAGGACAAAACAATCTCTATAGTAAAAGAGAAAAAAGATAAAATTGTAGAAAAAATTTCTGAAGATACACAACAAATTGCTACCACTACGAAAACAGCCGGTGAAAAAATTGTAAAGGAAACGAAAAAAATCGCTGAAAAAATAGGAGCAACTGCGGCAGATATGGCGCAAGATGTTAAGGATACTAAGAATGCAGCGGTAAAGGAAGTAAAAGAAGATACAACATTAGTGAAAGAAAAATTATCAGCAAGTGCTGATGTTGTTGCAGAGACTGCAGATAGAGCTAAGGATAAAACGACGAAAGAAGCGAAGAAAGCCAAAGACAAAACTAGTGGCTTCTTCTCCGGTATATTTAAAGGCGTCAAACATTCTGTAGAAGATGCAACTGACGATGTCAAAGAATTTCTGGATGAGACGAAAAAGGAAGCGACATTAGAAGAAGAGCGTAAAACGAGAAGAGAAGCTTCATTGGAAAAAGAATATGCTAAGGAAGAAATTGCGGCCGATCTTAAAGATTTGAAAGATAAAAAGAATGCTGTAGTTACCAAAATACAAGAGACTGCAGAGAAAACTGCTGCTGATGCGAAAGATGTAAAGGATAAAACAATTTCCGATGTTAAAGATAAAAAAGATAAAATTGTACAAGAAGTTTCCAAAGAAGCTCATAAAGTTGCCGATACAACGAAATCAGCTGGTGAAAAAATAATAGCGGAAACGAACAAGATAGGTGACAAAATAAAAGTAACTGCGGCAGATATTACGCAGAATATTAAGGATACTAAGGATGCAACAGTAAAAGAAGTGAAACAAGATACAACATTAGTGAAAGAAAAATTATCAACAGGCACTGATGCCGTTGTGGAAATTGGAGACAGAGTTAAGGATAAAACGACGAAAGAAGCGAAGAAAGCCAAAGACAAAACTAGTGGCTTTTTCTCCGGTATATTTAAAGGCGCCAAACATGCTGTAGAAGATGCTACTGACGACGTCAAAGAATTTCTGGATGAAACGAAAAAGGAAGCTGCATTGGAAGAAGAGCGTGCTAAAGAAAAAATTGCGGTATCTTTAAAAGATTTGAAAGATAAAAAGGATGCTGTTGTTTCTGAAGTTCAAGAGACTGCAGAAAAAGTTGCTGCCGATACGAAAGACGCAAAGGATAAAGCAATTTCCACTGTTAAAGATAAAAAAGATAAAATTGTAGAAGAAGTCTCCAAAGATACTCAGAAAGTTGCCGATACTACGAAAGCAGCTGGTGAGAAAATAACATCGGAAACGAAAAAGATAAGTGAGAAAGTAGAAGCAACTGTGGTAGATGTTGTTCAAGATGTTAAAGACACTAAAGATACAGCAATTAAAGAAGTGGCAGAAGATATAAAATTAGTTAAAGACAAAGTAACAGCGGATGTTGATACTGTCGCAAAAAGTATAGAGGATGCCAAGGATAAAGCGGCGAAAGAAACAAAGAAAGAGAAAGAAAAAGCAAGTGGATTTTTCTCAGGCATATTTAAAGGTGCAAAACATACTGCAGAACACGCAACTGAGGATGTTAAAGAGTTCTTAGACGAAACGAAAAGAGAAGCTTCATTGGAAAAAGAATATGCTAAGGAAGAAGTTGCCGCGGATCTTAAAGATTTGAAAGATAAAAAGGATGCTGTAGTTACCAAAATACAAGAGACTGCAGAAAAAACCGCTGCTGATGCGAAAGATGTAAAGGATAAAGCAATTTCCGATGCTAAAGATAAAAAGGATAAAATTATAGAAGAAATTTCCAAAGAAACTCATAAAGTTGCCGATACAACGGAAGCAACTGGTGAAAAAATAACAGCGAAAACGAAGAAGATAAGTGAGAAAATGAAAGTAACTGTGGCAGATATTACGCAGGATGTTAAGGATACTAAAGATACAGCAGTAAAAGACGTGAAACAAGATATAACATTAGTGAAAGAAAAATTATCAACAGGCACTGATGCCGTTGTGGAAACTTCAGACAGAGTTAAGGATAAAACGACGAAAGAAGCGAAGAAAACCAAAGACAAAACTAGTGGCTTTTTCTCCGGTATATTTAAAGGCGTCAAACATTCTGTAGAAGATGCAACTGACGATGTCAAAGAATTTTTGGATGAGACGAAAAAGGAAGCTACATTGGAAGAAAAACGCGCAAAAGAAAAAGTTGCCGCGGATCATAAAGATTTGAAAGATAAAAAGGATGCTATGGTTACAGAAATTCAAGAGACTACAGAGAAAATTGCTGCTGATACGAAAGATGTAAAGGATAAAGCAATTTCTGATGTTAAAGATAAAAAAGATAAAATTGTACAAGAAGTTTCCAAAGAAGCTCAGAAAGTTGCCGATACAACGAAATCAACTGGTGAAAAAATAACAACGAAAACGAAGAAGATAAGTGAGAAAATAAAAATAACTGCAGCAGATATTACGCAGGATGTTGAGGATACTAAAGCTGCAGCAGTAAAAGAAGTGAAACAAGATACAACATTAGTGAAAGAAAAATTATCAACAGGCACTGATGCCGTTGTGGAAACTGCAGACAGAGTTAAAGATAAAACGACGAAAGAAGCGAAAAAAGCCAAAGACAGAACTAGTGGCTTTTTCTCCGGTATATTTAAAGGCGCCAAACATGCTGTAGAAGATGCTACTGACGACGTCAAAGAATTTCTGGATGAAACGAAAAAGGAAGCTGCATTGGAAGAAGAGCGTGCTAAAGAAAAAATTGCGGTATCTTTAAAAGATTTGAAAGATAAAAAGGATGCTGTTGTTTCTGAAGTTCAAGAGACTGCAGAAAAAGTTGCTGCCGATACGAAAGACGCAAAGGATAAAGCAATTTCCACTGTTAAAGATAAAAAAGATAAAATTGTAGAAGAAGTCTCCAAAGATACTCAGAAAGTTGCCGATACTACGAAAGCAGCTGGTGAGAAAATAACATCGGAAACGAAAAAGATAGGTGAGAAAGTAGAAGCAACTATGGTAGATGTTGTTCAGGATATTAAAGACACTAAAGATACAGCGATTAAAGAAGTGGCAGAAGATATAAAATTAGTTAAAGACAAAGTAACAGCGGATGCTGATGCAGTCGCAAAAAGTGCAGAAGATGCCAAGAATAAAGCGGCAAAAGAAGCAAAGAAAGGGAAAGAAAAAGCAAGTGGATTTTTCTCAGGCATCTTTAAAGGTGCAAAACATACTGCAGAACACGCAACTGAGGATGTTAAAGAATTCTTAGACGAAACGAGAAGAGAAGCTTCATTGGAAAAAGAATATGCTAAGGAAGAAATTGCGGCCGATCTTAAAGATTTGAAAGATAAAAAGGATGCTGTAGTTACCAAAATACAAGAGACTGCAGAAAAAACCGCTGCTGATGCGAAAGATGTAAAGGATAAAGCAATTTCTGATGTTAAAGATAAAAAAGATAAAATTGTACAAGAAGTTCCCAAAGAAGCTCAGAAAGTTGCCAATACAACGAAATCAACTGGTGAAAAAATAACAGCGGAAACGAAGAAGATAAGTGAGAAAATAAAAACAACTACAGCAGATATGATGCGGTCGCAAAAAGTGCAGAAGATGCCAAGGATAAAGCGACGAAAGAAGCAAAGAAAGGGAAAGAAAAAGCAAGTGGATTTTTCTCAGGCATCTTTAAAGGTGCAAAACATACTGCAGAACACGCAACTGAGGATGTTAAAGAATTCTTAGACGAAACGAGAAGAGAAGCTTCATTGGAAAAAGAATATGCTAAGGAAGAAATTGCGGCCGATCTTAAAGATTTGAAAGATAAAAAGGATGTTGTAGTTACCAAAATACAAGAGACTCCAGAGAGAACTGCTGCTGATGCGAAAAATGTAAAGGATAAGACAATTTCCGATGTTGAAGATAAAAAAGATAAAATTGTAGGAGAAGTTTCCAAAGAAGCTCAGAAAGTTGCCGATATAACGAAAATAGCTGGTAAAAAAATAACAGCGGATACGAAGAAGATAAGTGAGAAAATAAAAGTAACTGCTACAGATATTACGCAGGATGTTAAAGATACTAAAGATGCAGCAGTAAAAGAAGTGAAAGAAGATACAACATTAGTGAAAGAAAATTTATCAGCAAGCGCTGATGCTGTTGTAGAAAGTGCAGACAGAACTAAGGATAAAACGACAAAAGAAGCGAAGAAAGTCAAAGATAAAACTAGTGGCTTTTTCTCCGGTATATTTAAAGGCGTCAAACATTCTGTAGAAGATGCAACTGACGATGTCAAAGAATTTTTGGATGAGACGAAAAAGGAAGCTACATTGGAAGAAAAACGCGCAAAAGAAATTGCTGCTGCAAAACTTAAAGATATAGAAGATAAGAAAGACATTACAATTGCCGTTGTTAAAGATACTATAGATAAAACAATGTCGGATATTAAGGACACTGATGAGAAGGCAATGTCTGTAATAAGAGATGAAAAAGATGAAATAGCAAAAAAGATATCTGAGGGCACCCAGAAAGTAGTTATTACAAAAGCAGAAGATGACAAATTAGCAGCGGAAGCAAAGAAGATTCACGAAAAAGTTGAATCTACAGCAGAGGATTTAGTATGTGGTATTCAAAATATTACGGAAAAGGTTAGCGATGATATAAAAGAAGACACAAAAGTTGCGAAGGAAAAATTAGTTTCGGCAGCTGAAGCTGTTGCAGAGGATGCACAAGCAGTCAAGGATAAAGGAATCAAGGAAACGAAAAAAGCTAAAGAAAAAAGTTCTGGATTCTTTTCGAATATATTTAAAGGCGCAAAACATACCGCTGAAGATATATCTGATGACGCGAAAGAAATTGTGGAAGACGTCAAGAAAGGAGCAATTTCTGAAGGAGAACACTTTAAAGATGTAACAGAGTCAGGCTTGAAAAATTTGAAACATGAAAAAGACAGTACGATTAGTAGTATAAAGGATGCAAAAAATGAAGCGGAATTAGCTTTTAAAGAATTATCAGATAAAAGGACAGAAAAATTATCCGATGATGTTTATAAAGCTGTTGATAATCTTAAAGATGCAGGCGACAAGTTAACAAATGACTTAAAAGAAGTGAGCGAAAAGACAAAAATTGTGGGACAAGATCTTGATGCGAAGGATGTAATTGCAAAGGAAATTAAAAAACATGCTCAAATTACAAAAGAAAAATTAATTGTCGAAGCGGAAGCTGCTGCGGATAAGACGGAAGCGGCAAAAGATAAAGTTGTAAAAGAAACAAATAAAGCGAAAGACAAGAGTACTGATTTTCTTTCAGGTATATTTAAAGGTACAAAGCAGAGTGCAGAAAGCGCAACCGACGATATGAACAAATTTCTGGATGAAATGAGAAAAGATGTATCGTTAGAACAAGATCAAATGGAAAAAACTGTACTTAAAGATTTGGAAGATTTAGAATATAAAAAGGATACTGCTGCTAGTGACTTTAAGAATATAGCTGATCAAGCTTTTGCTGAGATAAAAAATGCTAAGGACAAAACCACGGAGAAAGTATCGGAAGATATTCACAAAACTGCTGAGGTAGGCGAAGCTGCCAAGGACAAAGTAATATCAGGAATGAAAAGAGTTGGTGGAAGATTAGATTCGACAGCACGGGACATTGCGCAAGAAGTTTCAGATGTGAAAGATGTAACTGTTACAGAAGTTAAGGATGATGCAAAAATGATTAAAGAAAAATTATCAGCTGAAGTTGAAACTGTAGCTGACGATGTTAAAGCTGTTAAAGACAAGGCAACTAAAGAAGCGAAAAAAGCTAAGGATAAGGGGTCTGGCTTTCTATCTGGAATAGTTAAAGGTGCGAAATACGCTGTTGTAAATGCGAGGGACGATGTGAAAGAATTTTTGGATGAAACAAAGCACGAAGCGAAATTGGAGGAAGCTCGTACTAAAGAAGCAGCAATAACTGGTTTGAAGGAACTAGAATATAAAAAAGACACTATAGTCGACAGCGCTAGGAGCGTTACGAAAGATGTAACGACTGATGTCAAAGATAAACTTTCCGAGGACACAATTCAAGTAGTAGAGACGACGAAGGCTGTTGTTGATAAACTAGCAATCGAAACGAAAAAAATCGATGATGAAATAGAATCCAAGGCCACAGATGTTTCACATGATATAAAAGATGTCAAGGAAAGTGTCAGTAAGAAAATGAAAAAAGATACAAAGGCCGTGAAAAATAAGTTATTAACAAGTGCTGATGCTGTCGCGGAAAGTACCAAAACAACTAAAGAGAAACTAGAAAAAGATACCAAAAAGACAAAAGACAAAGGTTCAGGTTTTCTTTCTGGAGTTATCCAGGGTGCAAAACATACAGGAAAGGAGATTTCCGATGATGTAAAAGATTTTTTGGAATCAACCAAGCAGGAAGCAACCGCCGATGAAACGCTTGCTAAAGAGGCAGCGACAGCGAGATTGAAAAAGCTCGAACAAGACAAAGCTGCCGACGAGGTTAAGTTTGTCACAGAAAAAGCTGTGAAGGGCGCGAGAGATGTCAAGGAGAAGGGCCTTTCCGGCAAAGGTGCGAAGGAAAAAACGATTTCTACTGTAAGAATGACAGGAGATAAGATAAGACAAGGTGTATCGCAAGCCGGCGAGAAAATTAAATCTACTAGCCACGACGCGACGCAGAAAGCTAAACGTGCCAAAGGCGCAATCGTGAATGAAGCGAAAGAAGACACACAAACAGTCAAAGGAAAGCTAACAACCGGTGCGGACGTTATCGCAGACTCCGCGAAAATTGCCAAGGACAAGACCACGAAAGAACCTAAAAAAGCTAAGCAGAAGGCTGGCGGTTTTCTATCGGACATGGTAAAGAGTGCTAAACACGCAGTAGAAGACGTAACGGATGACATGAAGGAATTCTTGGAAGAAACCAAACAGGAAGCAGCTGCTGAAGAAGCGCGTGCTAAGAGCGGCGCTCAAGCGAAAGATAATTCCGCCACATTATTAACTGATGCAAAGGACAAATCTGTCGGTGCCGTTAAAGATTCATCAAAGAAGAGGATTGTTCAAAAAGGGTCTAAATCGCCACGTGATGCGAAAGGCACGTCGGCGGATGTACTCTCGTCTATTCCCAAAGAGATGGGCAAAGTAACAAAACCGCTAGCAACTGAAACAAGAAAAGCCGGTGATAAACTAGAATCTAAGCCCATAAACGAGCGTGTTCAGGAGGTAGTTGTACGAGATAGTTTCGAGATAATTGGCAGACCGGAGATGTCAGGCGATGTTGAGCATTTAATTGAGACAGTTAGGGATAAAAGAATATCTCGCATTCCACAAAAGATTAGCCCAAGCAAGGAAATGACAGCTGACGACGTTGTCACGACGTCGGACGATTCAGGTTTATGTAGAATAGTAGAGACAGTAACTACAATAGGGCACCCCGAGCCTCGCACACGGCACTCCGTCACCACAGTCGTGACAAAGTCTGTGCGAACGACTCCACCACCACCCGATTCACTCGCCGAGTTCACTGACAGTAGAACCGAAGGTATCTTGCAATAATCTTGCGTTATATATCCATATATCTCTATATATATTATATATATTACATATACCAGCTGTGTGTAACATGATTAATGATTAAGTTGACGCTTTTCTATAACTTCAGTTTTACTAGTTATATTCTCGTGACATCAGAGAGAAAAAAAGAAAGAGATATATATTCATGCACCTTCGTCATTCATTAATGAAACCTAACACTCTAATCTCAGTCATTTTCAGTCCACTAATTCTGTTCTACAACTTGTAGAACCGATCGACAACATTCGAAACACTCATATTATCGCTTGTTCCTGTTATAATTTTTTGCGTATTGTTTTGGATTTGTTTGTTTTTATATATATCGAATGGGTATATTGTTAATCGGAATCAATTTTATACAAATGAGATATATATTTAATTATGAGGTTATATTTGAAATGTGAAGTTTAAATCAGGAACAGCGCTCGTTATAATAAGAAGATTCAAAGACATCCGTTCGATATCGAGAAGAATAAACGATATACCTGTATATTACGTTTAATTATTTGCTGTACTTATTTTCAGTTATATCTGACATCTTAACATTAATTTTAATAACATTCGTTGAAATGCATGTTTTCAGGTTTTATGCCATATTTTATAATGTCTCTTATCATGATAATGGATAATTTTTTAAGTACTATTTACTGAACACCAGAAATCTTATTTTGTCACCAATCAGTCTTTTTTCTCATTTATAGCATATAACATATAGAGATCACATATTTACGATTATACAGTAATATGTTTCATTGAAATTAACAGGAGTACTACAACTAGCGAAGCATGAACAGAGGTATGCCATACAGGGAAAACATCATTCATCATCTAATCTTTGTTGAATCACTGCTTTCAATGTCATATTTGTCGATTCTCGATGCGAATTCAATTTGTGCTCTGTGTGACCTTTTCAGATGTAACCGAAGAGGCTGCGAGACAGGCCCAACATTTGGCAGAACAGGCGTCGTACACCTCGACGAAAGCAGGTAATGTAAAATAACTCGAGTAAAATATAAAAGATTTCACACATATACGGATCATCATCTTCAGTCGAAGATCAATAACGGTAGCAGACTTTGTTTTTGGTACCCTCATTTATATTTAGCTTTATCTTCCATAGTTAGCACCTGCCGACGCTTTCACACTAACCGATACTGTGCGCATGTTTCTTACTAAATAGTTACCGTGATCTCTTCTTGCCGATATATTTACACGCAAGGAAGAAAGATAGCTCTCGTCTGCGAGATTGCAATTCACTCTCGTTTATTATCGAAACTAATTTGTATATACTATACATTCGTCGAGTAGTCTAGATATATCAGTAGTCTAAAATATTCAATAAATCATGATATACAACTCCCGCAGGGAAGTAATCCTTCTTGAAAAGAATTGATAAAAAATATAGATTAGATATTTTCTTTTTTATTAATTTTATAGTTCCGAGAAAAATTATTGTGAATATCAAAGCAGTGTGTCTTTATTTTATTACATATAATACTCAAAAGCGTGTTGTTCCTGCTTCCACGATGGTACATTTTAGTAAGATTCAAGCGCTACGACTAAACATCGTTTTAATGAGTGTACTCTTTTTGTTTCCGATAAACAGACTAATCCTTGTTGCAATATTGATACTAACTAAAATTAAATATACGCGAATAGAACAACGGTGCACGCGCACACGCATCACACACGCGAAGCGCATTTTACGATTTATTATTTTCCCCTTCACCCATCGCACGTGCGTGCGTGCATGCGTGCGTGTGGGTGCACCAGCGCGGGTCTCTCCTTTTTTATTAATGTGTATGCGCGTATACATACGTACTGTGAAGCAGACACGCTTCGAATCTCTTTCTGGGTTCAACTTTGGCAACTGGGCTAGAGTTGAAATTCTTAGTGTGTATCAATGTGCTTTATGTCCTTGTTCCTGTTCTTGTCCATGTCCTTTTGGATGGGTCAGGGCATGATTCGGCTGAGATTGATGGGACTGTAGAGAGGCATGCTACTTCTGCTCCATCAAAGCAACCTGTTCCCGCCCCGCGTCACTCCACCACCAAGCCGTCTATCAAACCCGAGTTCCATCTGGAACTTAGTGACGCCTCACGAATACGTAAAACGGTCGAGCAGCCGCTCGAACCGCAGGAAGCGCAATCGTCGAGCAAGAACAGTAATCTAAAGAGCAAGATACCTCTTAAAATCGATTCTCGTACACCCCAAATAAGCGATAATCTTGAATCCGTTCCATTAGAATCCTCCAAAGATCGTATCACAGCTCCACAAGCGGTTTCGCGAACCGTTAAATACGTTACCAGGGAATACACGGACGGAGAACTGATCAAGGAAACAGCGAAAGAAAACAGCGTATCGCTCAAGGATACAATTCCGACGATCAAACCGGACAACATGATCGAAACTATGATAAACAACAGAGTGGAAATGACTCTTCCAATAGAAGAAATACGACGAACTACAACTACAATTGTAACTAGCGATCCATCAATTGATCCTGAAAAACTGGAGGAGCTTCTGAAGACAGGTGGGGTTGTTGAAACGGTGAGAACCGTAACTTTGACCTCGGAAGATGATGTTTTGCAACCCATGACACGCGAGGAGGTTGTCAAGAGGATAAACCAAGTTGCTAACGCCCTACCGAGCGAGATCTTCGACTTTGGCGATAACAAGTTTCCAGATTTCTCCACCAGTATGATAAAGACCGACAAATCTGAATCCGATGATGCGCAGACGATTACGACCGTGCAACGGGTAACGATGGAAGAGACGATGCCGGAGACTGAGAGAATCGAGAAGGTGGTGAGAACAGTGATCTCTAGCAGTAGTGATGGTGGCGATGACTTCGGCGACGCGGAAGCTTATGCCCTAAAGAATCTTCGGGAGCGATTAACGAAATCTGAGATTGGAGAAACAACTTCCTGGGTTTCGACGACGGGTGAGCAATGGGAAACGATGGCGCAATATTCTCAAGACACGTCGCCCGGCTCTGGCAACGGCGGCGCCATTGATGTGTTTGTTGCCAGCAACAACAACAACAAGAATGGTGGTAGCTCGAGGCACGATATGCACAGCGACACCGATAGTGATGGTTCGCCACAACCTAGAAGACGATCCCCGAGCAAGAGGCGTACGTTGGGCAGTTCCAGCGGGTCGGATGTAGCACTGCACGAAGGTGCGGAGCTGTCCCCGTTGGAGGACGACCAAGGTACCGCACTCTAACAGCTAGTCTTCTAAGTAAGCAATGTACATATTACCCCGAATCTCCTCGCTAACCGGTTACCTCTCGGATACTTGTGAACGAGCCCGAATAGAAGAGAGAAATATATATATATTATAGTGGCATGCTGAGCTTTAGTTGTTTGCATGTATCCTTTACAAATCTTTCTGTACTTTCTGCTAATTGTACGGTGACTTGAAAGCACATATTGATGTTCGCAATTGTTTGACGGAGAAAATTCATTATATGAATTAATTACATTGGTGATGGAGCTTGAACAATTAGAATTATCATCGCTGAAATAGAATTAAGAGAAGATTGCTCGAATTCTAGATTATATAGATATTTTGAGTTTACAAGTGTTTCAAGAATGAAAATTTGAGATTGAAACAGGAGACAGTCAAAAATCCTCTGTTGATTCATTTATACTTTGAAATTTTCCTTTTATATAGAATATGTCTTCTCAGTTTACTATATTTTTCCCACTCAAAAAATGCAAAAATAATAGTTATTAAGTATTTATAAAAGTTGAAATTTTTTTCTAAACGTTGATAAAATAATCAATGTTCTTGCAAAAACTCGAAATATAATTAGACTATGTTAATTTTTCGTCAATTTTCAATTGGGCAGGGACTTTGACTCTCCAATATATTATTACTTGAATATGTTTTCAAGCAGTAAAACGGAATCTATTTGCTTGGGAAATGCATGATCTATAATGTGTTTGCTGTGTTATATCTTCTATATCGGCGGCATCGTATAGAAGGGTAAACAACCCGCGCAAGGAAAAATAAAGCTTGTGAAGTGCAGTCATATAAGTCTGCATAAAGTCTGCGTAAATACTCCTCTTCGTAGGTGCGTAATAGGTGAGGAATTATAACGTGTGCGATTAATATAATTAAATGTTGCTTCGTTCGGGAAACGTTTGACGATAACGTCGTTTTCTTCCTTTTTTTCGTTGGTATTGGCTACAGGATAGATGGAATCTTATGATCAGGGGCTTTCTGGGACTATAGCATACTTTCATTCGAGGCTCATTTACAATCAGCTAGGTATGATTAAATGCGTTATCACACGCCGACGTGTTAAAGCGATATACATATAAAGAGAAGAATCTAACATATATTCATTGCGAAACTTCCTCGTGCAATTTGGCCAAAATAGCGCTAATTAAACCGAGAGTTTGCAATTATAGAGGAATAGAATGATGTAACATATGTTACACACGATAAGCAGTTAGGAAATTTTCATAAAATATGAAAATTCAGCACATACTAAACATTATTTAATATTAAACAATATGGACTAGAAAAGCAGAAAATCGCAAAAAGCTTTTCAAAAAATGGCATGGGATTATTTTCGTTATTCGTAAAATTTAAGTGGAATTTAATTTTTACGTATCTTTTGAAAGCTTCCAATTTGGCGATAATTTAGAATTGATAATATAATAGTTTAGATGTTTAGAAACTGACAAATTTTATTATATATATATTGTTAAAAAATGATGATAAAATTAATTTTTCAATAATATCATTGATCTTCATTACAATAAACTTTATTCAAATCAACAGACAGAATATGTGGCTGTTTCGGTATTACTTTTGGCTTACTCATACTAATCACGGCGGTGGAGCGTCTCTCATCCAGATCAATCAATCAATTCATCAAAATTTAACGTTTCCGACGATAATTCATGGCAATTGATAATCTTTAAATGGCAGAAACACACGGTATGGTACCGTCAGTTTGTTCGAGCAATGCGATAGAAGCGAAGACTAGGACGAAGACACCCGGTAGAGCCAGCTGCGCGTGTTGGATGAGCATAGCTGTTGCTGTGCTGGTGCTTCTAATAGCGCTTATACTTGCTCTGGAGCCACAAATGTTTCGACGTGTCATCTACACCTTGTCTAACAATGTCCCGAAGCAAGCCGGGTACGATCATCCTTCACATTTACTAAAGTATCTATATCACTTTTAGTAATGTTAAAGTTTTTTTAAAGGTATATATCAGGCCAACACACAGCTTTTACGATATCAGAATAGAGATTCAAGTTGTCGATTTATATTGTGCTACTTAATATTGTATCTTATTTTCAAATTTGTGACACAATCGAAAACTGAAGTTTTACTGATTAATGCATATCTCTCTCAAGGCTTAAATTTTCATTAAATGATATAAATAAGATTATAATAATTATTCTTGCAAATAGATTTATAGCACTTTTATAAATGAAAACTCAAAAATTCTTAAAGTTATAATACATATTAATCAGAAAAACGTAATTATTTGAAAAATATCTACTTTCGAAAAGAGATACTATATTAGAGATAGTATATTGGAGGAGGAGAAGGACTTACACATATATTATATAATATTAATTAATAAAAAAAATATAACTATTTACAAATTATGCAATGTCTCAGAAATATGCGATATTATTGATAAAAAATTTTATTAAATGTAAGGTTTGCATATTTGTAATACTGGAGTCTATCTCCACATTAAATGCAATCGCAATATTTTCAAAATCATTTGTATGATAACTTTCGTGGAAAATGAAACGTCAACTAAATAATGTATATAATACAATGATTTCAATAATCCTGGCGATGATTGTAACGTGCAACGAATGATACTTTTATAAAACAGCCTTCTGTCACACACATATAGATTTAATCTCCTGTAGGATACCGAATATACATCACGTACGTGTGATAAATTGATTTACCACACAAAGACAGGTAAATTTGTATAAGCAAGAAGAAGCAAGCTTTCTTTTTTCTGTAATGCAGTCTCTATGCATGAATTTTGATATTGATATCCCGCATGATTGCATCTTTTAGCATCTTATTGACTTTAGTTTGCATCGTCGCAGCGGTGTCCTGTTATCGGAACACAACAACTTTTTCATCGTAATAGAAAGATATGTTTTATATCTAGTGTTGTGCACGAAACGAGCTCCTACTCTTTTCTTTTTTAGTTTTTCCATTTTTTATTTTCTTTTTTTTTATTTCGAGCATCCTATAGT